GAATATATATATATTTTTTTATAAATATATATATATTTAATAGTTATAATACTTTTTTTACATAAAATATAATTTTTATTATTATTGAAAATTGCAAAAAAACTCCTAGCTAATCTTATAGTTTATTTGTATTTTTATTATTTTAATTTTTATAATTTAAAAAATAAACAGTAAATATTTTTTTTTATATTATTTTTCTTTATATTTTTTTTTATTTTTTATAAATCTTCATATTATAATACTAATAATTTTTTTACTAATTTGCAATAAAATCACTAAAATTTTTTTAATAAATTAAGTATTACATTCATATATATCATTTGGTATACTATTTATTTTTTGTTTATTAAATGCCTTAAAATGTGCTATATGATAAAAATATATATTTTGATTTATTTATTTTTTTAATTAGGATTACTACTATAGCATAATGGTTTTGATTACAGATTAATCTTTTATAGAACTATATTTATTTTCGTTTGTTGACATATTATTTAAATATAATTTTTATCCCGTAGAAGATTTACTAGTTATACTTTTTATTAAATTTTTCATGTTTTGTTTTCTCTTGTTATTTTCAATATTTATGTAGTTATTTTTATTTAATTTATATTAAAGCCATTACCGCGGATTTTAATTGTAATGGCACAATTTTTTTTAATAAAATTTTATGATTTTTTTTATGTTATAAAAATCTTTTTATTGTAATGTAATCTTTATAAAGTTTTCGGAATTAATTATTTTTGTCATTTTTAAACATATTAAAAAACATATAAACTTATTTTTAAACCTTTGTAGTTAGTATTAGTATTCTTAAACTATTGTTAATATGAATAATTAATAATAACTGAAGAGTTTATTAATTTATCGACGTAAATGGCCTAAAACAATGGATTTATTATATATACTTTTGTAGATTTTTTTGCTAAAGTGTTATTATTTATGAATTAAAAAGAAGATTTAAGATATTAATAATAATAAAAAATTTTGAATATACTTATTTATAAATGCTAAACTAATATTTTTATGTTATAAATTTAAAGATGTAATTATTAAATTATCTAGAATTTTTTTGCTATAAAGAAAGATGTTTTTTAGTAAAAAAAAAAGTATTTTTTTTTAAATTAAAATCAATTGTAAATAGAGTTATGTCCTAAAGATAACAAATTATTTTAATTATTAAATAATTAATACAAAAACGTGTATTGTAAATACACAGTAAACAATTTAAAAATATTGGTTTAGCAATCATCGTTTTTATTTTATTATTACAAAAAAGAAATATTTATATAAAAAACATTGATGTAATAATAATCGTTTTTAGACTTAAAATATACTATAAATAATGTCACGTTAATAAATAAAAAAATAATCTATTCAAAATAAGTAATTTACATATTAATAATTAAATTCTTATAATTTAATCTCCTTGAATTATTAATTATGGTTGTAAAGATATTATATAATATATAGAAAAATACGGATGAAATAATAAATATTGTTGAACTACTAAGAATTCTTTCCAATTATTAAATCATAATCTGTAAAAAGATTTAATTTTAATTACTAATGAAAATAAATAATCAAACAATATGTTAAAACATTGAAGTTTAAATAAACATAAATAATATGATTTAACTAATTAAGTAAAAAAAAAATTATCAAAAAAAATGTATTATTTACATTAAATATTTTTGAATAAAATATATTACTTATTTTTATAAAAATATATAAATATTTATAAAAAATTCATAATTTCTTGATTTTTCATTAATTATATGTATTAATTTTTTCTTATAAATATTCCCATAATTATAAGCGCTTTTAATTAAATTTTAAAATTTTAATAAAATAAAAATAAAAATATTTTAAAATTAACTGCTTTATTCAAGTTTAATTCATTAATCATAGTTTATCGTAAAATTTAATAATATTATTGGATTTTTTCTTCCTAAATTTATTTATACATAAAAATATATTTAAATAACAATTATAGAAGTTACTTTAAATTTTTTAATTTCAATATAATAAAGTAAGGCAGTAGTAACATCATAAAGAAAGGAAACACTTTTGATTTAATCTTCGTTTTTTGCTAAATCATTTTATATATTTTGTAGGTTTTCTTCTTTTGATTTAATTGAAAGTATGCTTTTTTTTCCTGTTAATTACTAAGTTTATAGTTTTTTTTATTTTAAAAACAGTTTTTCTTTTTAGTCTTTATAGTCTTATCTTTAGGTTAAAGCTTCATTCATAGCTTCATTTTCTAATATATATTAATTTATTTAGTCTAGAAATTCCTTAAAACTATTAACTTAAATTATATCTTTCTTTTATTAATTTTTTTCATATTAATTAAAAAATATAAAAAAAATATTTTACAATTTTTTGTATATTTTAATTAAAAATTTCATCGTTCTTAATATCGAAAATAAAAGCATTTTAATTATTTTGATTAATATATTCCGACAAAATATTTTTCTCATAATCAGGAAGCATAAATGATAATAAAGTTATTGAATTTTCATCATTCATTTAGCCCCATTCGACACAGTTTTTTAATATTTATGAATATTATTCTAGATCTACATTTATTTTTTTAACAAATTAATAAAAATGATCAACTTCAGCTTCTATTTTTTCTTCTATTTCTTTTCCTTATAATTATGAAAATTCTTTTTAATATTTTTCTATTATTATATGGATTTCTAACTATTTAAAATTGCTTAAAGCCTTTTCTAATTATTATTAAGGTGTCCTTTTTATAAAATTTAAGTTATTTTGTTTTAAATTAATTATAATTTAATTAATAATTAACCTTAAAAAAGCTTAAAATTCATTAGAATACCATAAATATTCTAATTTTAAAATTTTTTAAATGAACTATTCTAATTAAGTTCTTCTTTCTAATATAAATTATTCTTCTAAATTTCCTAATACTTTTTTTGAAGGGATGGGAGGTACAAAGCAACACGGCCAATTTTATACTAAAAGTTTTCTTAGTTATGCAAATTAAGAAAATCTTCTTTTAACATCAAATAATCCTTTCTTTATAAAATTTATAAAATTAATATTAAAAAAAATATAATATTCTATCTAATACCGTATCTTAACCTTATATAGTATAGACTGTATATTTTAATAAATTTTCTTGAATAACTTGATGATTAGTTATTGATGCTTATATCTTTTTAATCATATATAAATAATGAAAATATTAACATTTTACTTATATTTAATATAACTTATTATAAATCTTTTTGATATTATTGTTCCATTATATTAATATTAGATTTCTTTTATATTTAAAAATAAATAAATATGAATTTATATGTTTTTGATTAAAATAATTATTTATATTTATCTATTTATTTTCAAAAAAATAAAAAATAAAAAATTATTTTATTTTAATAAAAAATATAATAATTATGTTCTAAATATAAACATAAATTTAATAATAAAATAATTTTAATAAAAATTAAAAATAAGTAATTTATTAAACTTTAAAAAAATAGAAAATATTAAATTAAATAAACTATTTAATATTAATTAGATTTCATTCTAATTCTACTATAGTTTTACCTGCATGTACAAATTGACCGTTTTAATATTTTACTAATTTAACAATTCCGTCTTCTTTTGCTTTAATAGTGTGCTTTTAGTTAAAAATTTAAAATTTATAAATCTAAAAAATTACTTCCATTTTCATAGCTTCTAATATAACTAAAATTTGTCCAGCTTTGACAGCCTATCCTTATTCAACAGCTACTTTTACTAAAGTACAAGGCATAGGTGCTTTGATTATTTTAGAATGCTGATTATCTTATTATTAACCAGCTCTATCCTGAATTAAATTGCTTTCAAAAGTGAATTATAAAGTATCCCCAAATTCATTAAAAATATAACATTATTCTTCCTTAATATAGAACTTTATTTTATTTATAATAATTAAAAATATATATATATATATATTACATTTGTAGTTAAAGTTAACTCTGAAGATAAAATAGTAATTTAAGATCCAGAAACAGTATATGAAATATTATTAAATTATTTTTCAGGTAAAAATTGATTTTATAAGTCTTTTACACTTATATTCATTAACCCTTAATTTTAATATTAAACAATTACTTCATACTATATATTTTTTTGATAATATTATTAAATTAATATGAGTAATATTTTTTTATTTGAAAAATACTTTTAATTCTTTTTCAATAAAAGTAGCTTAAGCATTTAGAATGAAGGTCTATTAATGATTATGATTTATTCTTAAATTTATAAGACTTTAAGGTAAAGATATTTTATCCAAATCATTTGCGATTTTAGAAACAACACAACACATTAAATATTAAGGTTCAATTTTATCTTGCTTTTTAATATTAAAAATGGAATAAAAAGAAGTAGTAAATAATTTAGTTTAAAATATCATTAATAATATTAAATTACTTTTTATAGTAGGTTCTCAATATGTCTTTAAATAAATCCAGTATCATAGTTACCTTCAATAAATTCTGAATTTAAACTACAAGCCCTCAAAAATCTTAAATTAGTAGGTAGTCCAATAACTCTATATTCACCTTTGAAAAAAAAAAAAAAAAACTAAAAAACTAAAACTAAATTAAATACCTAAAGCTCTTTTTAAAGTTCCTATAGCTTCTTATCTATCTTTTCCCCAAACAACCAATTTAGCAATCATAGGATCATAAAAAATGGAAATTTCATCATTTTATCTAACTCCAGTTTCAAGTCTAATTTTTCCTTACTCTTCTAATGGTTCTTTAAAGAAAGATAATTTACCGTTTCCAGGTAAAAAATTATTATAAGGATTTTCAGCATAAATTCTAGCTTCGATTGAATGACCGTTAATTGAAAGTTAATCTTGATTTTTTGGTAATTTTTATCCTGAAGCAACAAGTAATTACCATTCAACTAAATCTTATCCTGTTATCATTTCAGAAATAGGATGTTCAACCTATAATCTAGTATTCATTTCCATAAAATAGTATTATTATGAATTTAAATCAAATATGAATTCTACAGTACCTGCATTATAATATCCAACTGCTTTTGCAGCATCAATAGCACTTTAACCTTTTTAATAATATTATTACTATTTATTTTATTTTATAAAATACCTATGCTATTTCTTAAATCATTTGTAATATTTGAAGGAGCTTCCTCAATTACTTTTTGATGTCTTCTTTATATAGAACAATCTCTTTCAAATAAATGAACATAGTTTCCATGATGATCACCAAAAACCTTTGTTTATATTGCTTTATTTTAGGTTGCTTTTTTGTTACTTGCATTTCAATGTGCCTTGGTTTTTGAATATATTTTTCTATGAGTACATTTTCATCTTTAAAAGATTTAAGGGATTCTCTTTTAGCACTTTCTAAACTTTCAAAAAATTCACTTTCCTTAGTAACTATTCTCATTCCTTTTCCACCTCCTCCTAAAACTGCTTTTATTAAAACTGGATAACCTATTTACCTCGACTATTCAAAAAGACTATTAATATAAACAAAAATATATTAAATGATTTCTTTCTTTTTTTTTTTTGTTACAAATCTTTATCTTAATTATTTCCATGATATCCAGGAACAACAGGGACCTATAATATATTAATTATAAATATAATTTATTCGTAATAAAAAAACATTAGCATTTTGCATTATATTCTTAGATTCACTTTTTGAACCCATTTTTCTAATTGCTGATGAAGGAGGCCCAACAAATATCTATATTTTTATAATTAATAAATTTATTAATAAAATTATATGTTTAATATTAATTACTAAACCGCTTTTTTAGCATTAATCAGCAAATTCTGCATTTTCAGACAAAAATCCAAATCCAGGATGTATAGCCTAACAATTAGAATCATTCGCAATTTCAATTATTTTATTTGAATTTAGATAACTTTACACTTTATTTAGAATATATAAGTTAAAAATAAAATAAAATAAAATTGTTATTATATTATAACAATTATAATTTTTACATGATGGTGCAGGTCCTACCCTATAAGATTAATCCGCCATTTAAACAAATTTCGATTCTCTATCTATATCAGAATATACTGCTACTGTTTTAATACCCATCCTTGTAAAAAATATATTGAAACTAATTATGTTATTTTTTTTTCATACTTTTTAGCAGTACGAATTATTCTGCATGATATTTCACCCCTATTAGCTATAAGCAATTTTTTAAGCATTTTCTTATTTTGATATTTTTTTTTAAAAATATTTTATTATTTTGTGTTTTTTTCAAAAAAAATAACAAAAATAATTAATTATACTTTTGATAAGTATATATATATTATTAGTAATTTAATTTATAAAATATTGCTTTTTCACGAAATTATTATAAATAAATTTTATTGTAAATTAAATTAAATTTTATTAAAAAAAAAAAATCTTTTTTTTTTATAATATTTGCTAAAATTAATTTAAATTTTTAATAAGCAAATGATAATATTTTAAATAATTTAAACTTTTTTTAAATATTAAATGATATTTAATGATTAATTTAACAAAAACCAAAAAAAATTATTTATATCAGAAAATAAATAAAATTGATTTTTACTAAAATAAATACAATAATAAAATTAAAATATTATATAAATAAATTTAAAAAAATTGTAAATAAAATAAATATAATAATACAATTTAAAAATATTATATAATTCAAAATAATTATTTTTTAAAACTAAAAAATTCTTCAAGGTTTTAATTTTTCTTTAAATAGCATTTAAGTATTATTATAACTATTAATTTTTAGTAGAATTTCTTTCAGTCAAATTTTAAATTTCAATGAATACTTAGTTAATTTTAATTTTAAGGATATCTATTTATTTTTGATTTTCTTTGATTTTATTATTAAAATCAATCCATTCTTTTTAAAAATTAGCATTTAATGAATTTTATCTAAGTTATTAATCATTTAAAATTTATCCATACAAATTTTTATATTCTTAAATTCTTGTATCTAAATCATTTTAAATATAATTAAAATTATTAATTTAAGCTTTAGTTTTAGCAATTTCTAATAATAGAGGTTCTGTAATTTTGATCTCTTCTTTAATTAAAATAGGTTTTTCTTAAATAACAGGCTTCTCAATAACTATAGGTCTTTCAATAACTTTTTCAATAATTTCAACTCTTTTATTTTTTCTAGCCTATTCAACATTAGCATTTAATTAATAAATGATTCTCTCTTTTTTCTATAAACTAGATTTTAAGTTTTTATTCTCCTCTTAAATTTAGTTTTCAATGACTTTATTTTCTGCTTATAAATTAATAATATTTTCTTTAGTTTAAATTTATTAACTTTTTATTAATTCTATTTAACTGTTAAGGTTATCTTTAATAGTTTTTTAAGCTAAAAACTATTCGTATAATGATAGATATTTTTAATTATTTTAATTATTCTTCTTTTCTATTTATTTTATTAATTCTTCTCGGCTATGTTATTATTTTTTTTATTCTACATATAAATTCTAATTTTCTTAATTTAATTCATTTAATTTTTATTATAATTTCTAATTATAAGTTAAATCGAATTAAATACTTTGATTTATTATTTTTATTTCATTTTCTTTTTCTTTATTTTTTAATTTTAAATTATGTAACTTTTCATCAAGTTATTTTTCAGAAGATTTAACTTAATCTATATCATATTAAGTATTTTTATTTTAATTTAAGATTTGGTTCTCTACTTAATTAAATTATTATATTTCTCTATTAATTTCTTACTTTTAGTCATCAAATTATTTTTTAAAGTATTTTCCATCTTATATAACTTCTTTTAGTTTGTGATTTTCATCAATCATTTTTGCTTTCATTTTTTCAGTTGTTCTTTATAAATTCTCTTTATCTTTTTGTAATTACTTTAATTTTTATTTTTGCTCTTCCAAAATTCTTTATTGTTCATTTTATTTTATTTTTTATTCTGCTTCATATAATTTTTATATCATTTAATTTGCCTCTTATAGATAATTAACTTTCTTTTATGGTTTTTGTTCTTATTTTACTTCTTCGTTTTTAGTTTTTTTTATGTATGGTTATTAGATTTTTTTTGTCACTTCTTTTGGTGTGCTTTTCATTTTTTTTTACAATTCATCTATTAGTCTTTGTTAATATGTTTATGTTTCAAAATTCTCCATATTTATTTAAAATATTTCAAAAAAAATAAATTTAATTATAAAAAATAATACTTTTTAAAAAATATAATTAATGGAAATATAAAATTTATATGTTATAAAAATTAAATTATAGTATAATAGTAAATATGTTTTTATAAATATTTATAAGACATTTTATATATTTTTTATAATTTTTTTCATAATTTTATCTTTAGTTAATCTCTATTTATAGCATAAGAAGGAATATCATCTGTAAAAGGCTTTAATTCATAGTTTCCAGGCCCTTTTTATATTTTAAAGGCAAAATTTAAATATTATAAATTTAAAATAGTAATAATAATAGATTACCAGGCAAATCTTAATGCATTTGTGATTTAATTCTTTCTTCTTTACCAAAAGTAAAACCTTACGTTTAATTTCCAATTTTCGAAGGGGTTTCATATCTTCCAGGGCCCTTAAAAAAGTAATAATATAATAAATATTTTAAAAAGCTAACTTACAGGATTATATTTATATGTTTAAGAAGTATTTGGTCTATTTCCTTTTCCTATTTTATAAGTAGATACTCTACTTTTTGTTAAAGATAAGTTTATTTAATATTTATCAGGTCCAGGTGTTTATCTTTTTTCTTTAGAATAATTATAATCCGGTCTTCTTGGCACCATTGTGTACTTAAAATTATAATATCAATTATTTTTTTTTAGTTTTACTTATGCTCCTTTCTATAAATTTTCGTAAGCTTTTGCTTCATTATAGGATCCTGGTCCTGGAGAAAACATTTTATAGTTTAAATCTTATCTTTTTGCACATCCTATCTTACATTATGGTGATTAAGCCTTTATTTGATTTAAAAAAGGATTATAATTTCCTGGACCCTTTTTTATAAAAATCTTTATTTTATTTTTTACATTATATTTTTTACTGGATTATTATTTTTTGGGCTAAAATCATTTCTTTTTGACTTTCCAATCCTTTTATATATTTATAAATATTATTAGTTTTTTTTTTTTTTTAAAATAGAAAAGAATATTTATTAATTAACTTAAATGCTGGTGACTTAATCAATATTTTATTTTAGATGGATTATATGTATCTGGTCCTACCATAGTATTTTATTTTTTTGTTTGATCATCTTTTAATTAAAAAACATTAAAATTAAAATTATGAATTAAATGAAAAATAAACTATTTATTCGAGGAGAAATAGAATTACCAATATCTGTCCTTATAGTAGACTTTAATTAATACGTCTTTTTTTTTATAATTTTTAAATGTCTTTATTTATATTTTTAATATTTATATACTCCTGGACCAATATTGGCATTTTTTTATGGTTTAAAGTTATTTTATCTTTCTTCTGTTCCAAAACCATAACTTGGTAAAGTTGCTTTATATGCAATTTAAACATATTATCCAGGACCTGGACCAATATTTTTCATATAATATTAATCTCTTTAAGAAGTTCCAATTCTAATAAATTTATTATAAAATAATTTTATGTTATAATATACTTTGGTGATGATTTATTCAAAATAGTTGATATATTTGTTTCATAATATCCTGGTCCTGGCCCTGGCGAATTTTTATCTTAAGTTTAATCAGAAAATTTAGGTCTTAATGAATATGATGGATTTTTATGAAAATTATAATTTGATTCGTATGCTCCGGGACCTTATTTCAAAATAATATTAATATTTTACTTTTATTTTTTTAACCTGGAACTTAATTTTATTATGTTTATTGATTTTTCGTTCCAAATACATAAGCTGGACATTTATTTTTCTTTTCATTTTATTATTATATATACTATTTTTTTTTTTCTTATTTTTAATAATTATACTTTTGAATCAAATGAATGTTAGACATCATACCATCCTATAATATTAATTTTTAATTAACAAAAATAAGAATATTTAATAATACCAGGACCAGGGTTCTAATTTTTTTCCCATTTTCCTCTTTAAGATTATCCTCTTTTCCAATTAGGAGATTAATTTTTAACACGTTAAGAAAGTTCATATGCGCCAGGTCCAGGATTGCAGTTTGTATTTGCTTTTTCTAGATTTCATTTTTTAATAAATAATTAAAATTATATATATTTTTAAAAAGCAAAATATCAAAAATACGTCTTTAAGAATGAGCTATTGAATAAGCATAAACCATTATTTATTTTTATAATTATATGAACCAAATAATAATAAAAATAAGAAGTTTAATAAAAAATTTAACTAAGTTAATAAAATGTTTTTAAATTAAACATATTAAAATATTAAAAAAAATTTGATTGTAAAAAAATAAATAAATAAAATAATTAAAAATTTAAAATATTATTGTATTTATTTCTATTATTTAAAATAAACATAAAATTTAATAAATGGGTTGCAATGCTTCTACTAATCAAGAAAAATATGAATTTTCTTTAACTGATTAAAAAAAATTAAATGCTATAAAAATAGTAAATTTTATCAATATATTTTAGTTTAAAAATAACATTTATTTATAACGAAAGAATAATATTTAATATAATAAATAAATAATTATAAATAATATAAATGATATTAAATTAATCTTAAAAGATACTAACATTATAATATTTCGTAAAATAAAGTAAATATAAATAATTTTTTTGTTTTTAATATGATCAATCTCCTCTTTTTTTAGTATTGATATTAATTTAGAATTAACGGAATATAGTTTTAATGAAAAAACAATAATAATTTAACCGAATAAGTTTTTATTATAACAAAAATTAATAAAACTAAAGTTTATTAATTTTGAAAAAAATATTAAAAGTCCAAGATCATTGAAATTTATAGAAACATTATAAAATTTAAGTTTATTAAATATAGACAATTTATATGGATTAAAACTTTATTTAGATTATAAAAAGTATTTAATAAAATAAAGAAATATTAATGAATTTATTATTTTAGCCTAATAATTGAGAAAGAATATGATATATTATAACTGAGTAATTTGTTTGAAAAACTAATAATTAAAACCTAAAATCTTTTATATTTGCATTTACAATTATCAAAGTAATTATTTATAGATAGTATAAATTATATATTATTTAAAATTAACTTAAAAAAGCTGGAAATGTGATAGTATATATATGAGCAGTTTTATAAAATCACTATCGAAACTTCTTGAAAATTAGAAATAATTATAATCTTTTGATTTGGATATAAAAAAGTAAAAAGTTTAAAATCGTAAATTTAAATATAAATTAAAATAAAAAAGTTACTAATAAGGAAACGATATTTTAGTAGAATAAATATCTGAATGTATTTCTAGTATTGCCTCAAACAATAATTAATTAAACCATTTTTCTTTAAATTTAAATTAGTAAAAATAATATTAGATTCAATTGGAATTTTTAAAAAAATAAAATAAAAAGCTGGATATAATGTACTGACTAATCTATTTAAATTATTTCAAAAATTATTACAAAAATACTTTAAAATAATAAATTTTTAAATTATTTTTATCTTGGATTTAACAAGTATATAATTATTAATATAATTTAATTAAAATTAATAGTTAACAGTTGGGGGAAATGCACAAACATAGCTTTAGAAAGCATTAAAAATATAATATATAACATATCAGCTTTTATTAAAAACTTAAACTTTTTTGGATTAGAATTAGAAGAGTAAAAAATAAAAATAAAATTAAAAGAATATATTTGTAAATAAAATTATAAGACATTTAAGTTAAATTTTATATATATATATTATTATATTTACTTAAAAATATATAAATTTTATAATTTTTTTATACAGGTATTTTTATATACATAAAAATATCTTATAACAATTTTAAACAAAATCTACATAGTAATCTGATTTATATAATAATGTTTTTTTTATTTTTATATATTTGAATATATAAAATTTTCTTTTTTAATAAATAATTTTTATATTTAAAATATTCAAAAACATATATTTTTAATAAATTTATATCAAAAAGATATAATACAATTTTATATTAATATTTTTATTATTATAAAAATAATATTAATATAAAAAATATATAAAAATATAAAATATATAATATAAATATAATTAAAATTTAAAATTATATATATATTTTAAATAGATGGTTTAATATAAATTAATAAGAATGCTATGAATTTATAATAGGTCTTAAAACTATATTCGGATAAAATTAAAATTTATAGAAAGTAATTCTTAATTTTGAATGGTAATTAAAAAATATTTTTTTAAATTTTAATTATATAAGTTGGAGTTATGAAGCTAAATTCTATTTATAATAATTATAATAATAAATTTTTTAATTAAATAAAAATGTAACTATTGATTTCTTCTTTTGAAAAAATAAAATCAAATAAATATAATTCTGTAAAAAATAAATATATTAAATAATATTAATTTTAATATATAATTAATGTAAAAAAAAAAAAAAAATTATATAAATAAAAGATAAATATTTATTAAAATTATTAAAAATATTAAAATATTATAACAAAAAAAAATTGATGTAAATAATAAATTAAAATAAAAAAAGATTATTATTATAATATATAAAAAATATATTAATATATTAAAAATTAAAATTAATAAAATTCAAATAAAAATATAATCTTAAAGTAAATAAATAAAAATTAATATAATAATAATAATAATAATAATATTTATAATAATAATAATAATAATAATAATAATAATAATTATAATAACTATAATAATTAAATAATAATAATAATATTTTATAAATTATTTATATTTATATTATATAATTTTTTTTCTTAAATTGAAATTTTTTATAGTTAAATATTTATTTTTTTAATTTAATATAAATATGTTTAAATTTTTTAAAAATAATATTATTTTTAATAATTAAAAAAATATTTTATACATTATAAAAAAATGAATAACTCTTAAAATAACTTTAAATCTGGTAAATCTGCCTTCTATATAAGAATTTAATTATACAATAAAATTATATATAAAAAAATCATTTATTTGTATAAAAGATAAATTTAAAATACTAAAAGAAACATTATTAATTAATAAAAAACATAAAATATTTATAAATATATATATATATTATTAATTTATTATTATAAAGATCAAAATAATAACGGAAATATAAAGGTAGTATGTAGAGTTCGTCCATTTAACCTTTAAGAGTTATAATTAGGTCAAGTTCTATGTGTAGATTTTATAGATGAATATTCAATTAAATTAAAAACTTAGCAATAAGAAAATAAAAACGAAAAGATAATATTTAATTTTGATCGTGTTTTCAATACAGAGTGCACTTAGTTAGAAATATATAATTTCGCTGCTGAACCAGTAGTTAAAAGTGTTTTAGAAGGCTTTAATGGTACAGTGTTTGCATATGGTCAAACTTCAAGTGGAAAAACCTTTACTATGTTAGGATCAAATATAGATGATAATTAATATTAGGGAATAATTCCCAGAATGGTAAATACCGTATTTAATTAAATAACTGACTCTCCTGAATTTATAGAATTTCGTATAAAAGTTAGTATAGTTGAAATATATATGGAAAAAATACGTGATTTATTAGATACTAAAAAACATAATTTAGTAATCAGAGAAGATAAATAAAGAAGTGTTTATATATAAGATGTAACTGAGCATTACGTTTCTAATGAATAAGATGTATTTAATATTATGAAGATAGGAAATTAAAATAGAGCTGTAATAGCTACTAATATGAATGAAGGCAGTTCCAGATCTCATCTTATATTCATGCTTACTATTTCGTAAAATAATTTAAATGATTTAAGTGCCAAAACAGGAAAATTATTTCTTGTTGACCTCGCAGGAAGTGAGAAAGTAGCTAAAACAGGAGCAGAAGGTAGAGTTTTTGATGAAGCTAAAACTATAAATTAAAGTCTTTCTAGTTTAGGTAATGTAATTAACGCTTTAACTGATGGAAAATCAACTCATGTACCTTATAGAAACAGTAAACTAACTAGAATATTGTAAGAAAGTATTGGAGGTAACAGTAGAACTACTCTTATTATTACCTGTTCACCTAGCTCCTTTAATGAAGCAGAAACTTTAAGTACTCTTAGATTCGGAATTAGAGCTAAAGCAATAAACAATAAACCAAAAATTAATAGGGAAATTACAGTGGCAGAATTACAAATGATTCTAGCCAAAACTGAATTAGAACTAGAAGATAAAAAAACAAGAATTATTTAATTAGAAAATTATATTTCTTAAGTAGGCTAAAGTGTACCAGTATCTGCGATCGATGGAGTCGAATGCTTAAAAGGGCTATAATAAATTAATGATATTGATGATTCAGAGAAAAAAAATTTATAAGAAGTAATTTTTTTATCAAAAAAAGCAAAAGTTAAAATTTAAAAGGAATAACTAAAATAATTAGAAGAGGATTTAGATAATGAAAAAAATAATTTGGTTGTTTAAACTGAATAGCTTAATAATGCTATAAAAGAATTCGCTAAATTAAATAATAAATTTAGTTTCATTCAATAAGTGATATTATTTATCCTTTATTTATATTTATTATTATTAAATAAATTAATAAAAATAGGAAAATACTATTTTGTAAAAACAAATAGAAGAATTGAAGTCTGAATTATAAGTTTAAAATCAAAAAAATCAAGAAAACCTACAAATCACAAATACTAAATATTAATAAGAGAAAACATAACTATAAAACGAAATAATATAATTAAAACAGATAAAAGTAATACCATAAGAATAAATTCAAAATATTGATCGTTCTCCGAAACAAATTTAACCTTTAGATTCTTTAAGTTTTATATAATAAGATGATTATAATTAATTAAAATAAAAAATTTAGTCATTAGAAAATTAATTATTTGTAGAAAAAAAACAGCTTGGAATTACAAAAATAAATACGTTCTTAAAAGAGTGAACTAGAGAATTAAAATAATAAAATAATTAATTATGAAGAAGAATATAAATAATTATAAATACAAATTAAAGAATAGGAGCATAAAATATAAAAAATAACTGATGATCTTTAAAATAGAGTTAATAAAGTTGTCGATTTGGAAATTTAATTGGATGAAAGCAATGATAAATACAAAAAATTGGAAGATTCTTTAACTATTTCTGATAAAGAATAACTAAAGAAATTAAATACTTTAGAAAAAACAATAAAAGAATTAACATAATTATATTACGAATAATAATCTATAAATACTGGATGGAAATAAGACGCTAAAATTAATGATAATAAATTAACTAGAAAAAACGAAAGGATTTTAGATTTAGAAACTTAATTATCAAGAGCTAAAGAAGAAACATAAATTCTTAAAAATAAAATTATACTTCTGGAATAATATCTACTTGAAAATAATAAAAATATAAAAGAAATATATGATTAAAATTAAAAACTTTAAGAAGATATGAATAGTATTAAATAAAAAAATTAAGATCCAAATGATATAAAATAATAAAAAGAACTAGCTAATCATAGTAAAATAGTAATTACACTAAAAGGTGGTTTAAATAAAATCTGTACATCAAACTTTTAGCTAGAAGAACTCCAAAAAACTTAAATTTAATGAAAATATAAATACATATTTTTATTTTTAATATTATTATTATTAATATAATATCTTTTATTATTGTTTATAGAATTTATTTATAATATTTTTTTGAATATTTTATAAACAAAAAAAATTGAAAATTGCATTTTTATTTTTGATTAATTTTTTTTAAAAAAATACATAAATAATAAAAAAATATAAAATCAATGTAATATATTTTTATTTATACTTATAAACAATTTATTTAAAAAATTACACAAGAATTATATATTAATATATAATTAACTATTCTTAAAATTAATAAAAAATATATGCAATCTTAAAATACAAATAATATAAAAAATAATGTATAAAAATAAATGAAATATTTATTAAATACTAATAGAATATTTAGATTATAAAGCTAAGAATTTATTTACTTTTTAAAAGATTAAATTTAAAAATAAAATTTATAATATTAAAATGAATAGTAAGAAAATAAAAAATATGATGAAACAAGTTAATAAAGCAGAACATTTTCATCTCAAAACTCAAATTAATATTAAAGCAGTTAATTATTAATAAAATAAATAAATAGTTAATAATAAAATAATCAGCAAAAAATAAATTATTAAAACAAAAGTAATTAATAATAAATGATTACAAACTTTAGGAATATAAAACAAGTGATTAATTAAAATTAGTTTTAAATAAATAATTAGCTTTAAAATATTTCTGAATCATCTGAAGATGATTCTTTTGAACTAAAAAAATTAGCCGAAGATTTATATAATAAATAAAAAAATAATAATTAATATCAGGGATAAATCGAATACAATTAAGATAATAGCATAAGCTAAATATAATAATATAATAATTAAGATGATGATGAAGATGAAGATGATTTAGACATAATTAATCTAGCATAAAAAATAAGCAAAGAAAAAAATATAAAAGTAAAGGACGAAACTAATTTAAATCAATATTTTTAGTTAAAAAAATTAAAGTGAAAAAATCATATTTTCAATTTTTTGAATATATAATTTTTTTAAAAAATAGAAAATCACCGGATTAAAAAAAATATTTTTTAAATTAAATAATTATATAAAATTTTTATTTCAATTTAAATATAAATCATATTATAAGGCTTTTAAATATAATTAAATTTTTTAAATCATGAAATATATTTTTTAAATTTAAAAGTGTTTTATTATTTAATTTTATTCTTTATTATTTTTATAATATATATCAAATAATTTTTTTTATTTTTATAATTAAAATATTTTCAAATAAATAAAAATAAAATTGTAACATGAAAACATTCAAAATATAAGCTAAAGTAACTAACATATTTATGTCAGATAATAAAATTAATACTAAATTAAATATTAAATACCTACTGAGCAATAATGTTAGATTTATATGCAAATAAACACTCTTAATCAAAACAATATTTGTTAATAACCGAAAATTCTTAATAAATAAAAAAATGAATATATAAAACTAAACTAATTTAAATATACTTCACTTATTAATTTTTTAAAATATGACTATTTTATTTTAATAATATATTAAATATATGCTAATTTTATGTCCAAAATATTAACGCATAAATGGAGTACAATGTTAAATATATAAGAATAGAATAAAAGTAATAATAATTAGAAAAAAAGAATTGCAAAATATTCTAGAAAGCATTAAATTTTGGAAATATATTATTAAAAAAGAAGCTATAAAAAAAACGAAAAAATAAAATAAATATAAATACAAAAATTAAATTATGAAAACTGAAATAAATATTAATATAATTGTATTTATAAATATAATTGAAAAAAAAGATATGGATATGGAACAAGAAATAAGCATAGATAATGTAATAGCTTAGTAAAAAGATTAAGATAAATAAAAAACAAATTTATATATATAAAAATATAAAATGTCATAAAAAGTAAAACTAGAATTTAATAAAAATAATAATAATAATAATAATAATAATAATAATAATTTTTATGTTTTTTTTTTTCATTATTTTTTTTTATATTTTTTAAAAAATGTATAAAATATTTTTACTTTTTTTGTTTATTTAGATTAATACTTTAATTGAGTTAAATCATATTTTAAAATAAGCTATATGTAAATTTTTCTTTTTATAAAAAATAATATATGATATTTTTTAGGTTTATATAAAGATAAAAAATTATTTTTAAATAAAAATTAATTACTTTTAATTTAAATTGCCAAAAATTTGATTTTTTCAAATAGTTATTTTATGTATACTCCTTAATATAAATATTTAGTTAATAAAAAATATTTATTTTGTTTTTAAACAATTATATTATTTTTATATTTTTTTCTATAATATCTATTCAAATTAGTTATAATTTTTTTTTTTATTTATTTAATTTTTATAATTTCTTTAAATTTCCATTTTATAATTCATTATTTATTTCTAATATTATTATTTAATAATAAAAAAAAAGATATATATAGATTAACTAAATTTTCACACAAAAAGTTGTAATTTATATAAATTAATAAATAAAAATGAAATTATTTTTATTTTTACTACTAATTTTTTCAGTATCTTTTGCAACTGTTCTTAATCAAAGTAAATAATATAAATTTAATTAAAAACTATAAAATGTAAATATTAAATAGATTTCCTTTAATTAATACAAAGATATAATTGTACTGATGAAAAAATAGAAATAAAAGATTAAATTGGATAATGTAAATGCGCAGATGGAGATTAATGTATATGGACTGGTGATAAACCTATAATGGGATGCCCTTGCAAAGCACCAATTAAGTCAAAAGTAGATTATTTATGTGTTAAAAAGGCAATAAGAAACGGATGCTCAAATACAAAACTCGAATGTTCTGAAAAAATAGGATAATGTGGTTGCCCTGGAAAATCTTAATGCGTATGGTCTAAGGAATAAGATATAATGGGATGCCCTTGTAAAAATATATTTATATTTATTATATATTTTTTATTTATTTTTTATTTTAGGTGGAAATCCTAAAATGCCAAGTTTTGCAAATTAAAATAACAATTAAAACGCTGAATAAGAAACTGTTAATAGTAAACCGAAATTCTAAAGAGATAGATCAAAATAAAAAAGAAAAAAAGATCTTTGAAAAATTATTTATTTTTACTATTAATCATTTATTTTAAATAAAGTTTTTTCTAAATTCATTTTATTAATAAATATATAGTTTAGAATTAAAAATAAATTAATTTTTTTAAAATATTTTAAAATTAATTTTTTTTTTTTTTTTTTGTGAAGTGAAGTGAAATTATTATAATTAATTTAATAATTATTACCTTTTATTTATATACAACAAAAATATAAATGGAAACATATTATAATTTAAAATATTATACTGGAGAATAAGTTATTAAATTAGAAGAACAAATAAAAAACAATTATTCAAAGTCCCTGATGAAGAAGAAATAGAAAAATAAATGTTAGAGGTAGAAAAATTAAAGAAAATAGATCAAGAATATTAAGAAAAGAAGAGAGAATTATAATAATAAAAATCAAAAATAAATTTAACAAAAATTCAAAAAATAGAAGAAGAATAAAAAAGATTAGCATAAAAATTAGAATAATTAATTAATGAACCTATTGAAAATGAATAAGAAGAAATGTTAAAATTAGTAGCTTTAAAAAGAAGGGTAGCAGAAGCACAAAAATAAGAAATGATGGTATTTAACAAGTTATTTTTTTAAAAATATTTAATATTTTAAAATATATATATATATATATATATATATATATATATATATATATATATATATATTTTTATTTTACAATAAACAAAAAAAAACCAGTTATTAGAAGAATAATATTTAAAAAAAAAAGAATTGGAAATATAAGAAAATGTAAGGAAAAAAATAGAACTTGAAAAGATTTTAGAAAAGAAGAAAGAATTAAATGATTAATTTCGAAAAACTAAAATAGAGTTAGATATGATTGAATAAGAAGAATTGAATAGAAAAAATTAAATGAAAAAATATATTGAAAAGGCTTTAAAACATGATATTTTAAATATTGATAATGAAAAGGAAAAATAGTAAATTAAAGATATTTTAGTTGAATAAATGGTTGCTGACCAAAAAGAAAAAGAAAATATTTTAGGAGAAATTTAAGCTGTTAGATAATAATAAAAAGATAAAATAAAATTTGAATTTCAATAAAAATTAAGAGAACTAAATGATTAAAGGTATTATTTAATTTTTACTTTAACTTAATAAATAAAATAATAAAAAAAGATTTTAATTAAATTAAGAAGGAGAATAATTATTAATTAAAAAAGCTTAGCATTTTGAATTATAAAAAAATGGTGTTGAATTTATGTCTAATATTGAATAAGGTTATGCTCCTCCAATAGAGTATATTTTATAAAATATGTAAAATATAAACGAAGATGAGTATCGTAAAGATTTCGATATAGAAGAAATTACTGAAAAAGCAAAGTAAATTGCTTTAAAGGGCAATAAAAAAATAGAATCTTTAAAATAGTAACTTAATGAATTTTCTATTTTAGATCCTTATACTAAACCTTATAAAGGTGAATTAAAACCTATTATCTAAAAAATGAACCCAGAAAATGTTTATATAGCCAGGCTTATTGTTGATTGGTTAATAGAGTAAGCAATAAGATAGTATTTAGAAAAATAAAATATATATGAAGCAACAAAAGAAAAATAGCAATATATATAAGAAAAAGCTAAAAGATTATAAGATAAAATCAAGTAAAAAATATCAAAAATTATAAATGAAAAAATATTGATAAAAAAAGTTAAGCATCAAATGAAATAAACTATGTATCTATTCGAGATCGTATATTTGAAAAAGTATTGAATAAAATAATAAGAGAAGCAGCAATAGAAATTGCAACAGTTAATTAAATGGCTAAAACAATATCTTTAAATTTAATTACTAGAGCTATTAAAGGTTAAAGAAATACTACCAATTCAGAAGCTTAATTAAGCAAATTATTTTATACTTTAAGAAATACCGATATGACAAAAAAAGGAGATGATACTTTTAGATTTAATTTTTAAAATATAGATTAATAATAAGATTTAAAAAGTAAAAAAACAGGGAAAAGACTAGAAGGTCAAAGAAAATATAAAATAAAGTACAAAAGATAAATAAGAAGAACATGAAGATTAAGATTAAGAAGAGGATAAAACAATTTTAAAATTATATCCTGAATCAGACTGTATTAATTAACTAGGTACTTAAGACATTATCGAAATTGAAAAATAATATTGGAAAAGTATTACTTTAGAAAATTAAAAGTTCATTTCTCATAATTCTAGAAACAAATATTTTGTCAGTGCTATTTGTATATCTTTTAATAAAGAATTCATTGCTATAGGATATTCTAACGGATTGGTTTAAGTTTTTGATACTTTTACTAGTTAGTTGGTTGCTATTGTAATTTTAATTAATTAAATTATATTTAATTTTTTAAAAAAGGTGGAATAAAATTAGTAAAAAGCTATTAAATAAGTAATATTTGCCTATGATAATATTAGCTAATTAATTGCATTAGATGAAGATGGTAACGTTACTGTAAATTATAATGCAACTAATATTAAGGGTAATAAACCAAATAAAAATAAAGAAGATTAATATGCTTTAAATTTTTTACTTTATTATGATTTAAATTGGAAATGGATTACTAGAGGAGGAAAAGCTAATGTCTAGGATGATTTGAAAATTGTTACTTCTATTTTTCATCCAGGGATTACTTTTACAGTATATTTTTATAAAAAATAAAAGAATATTTAATTTTCTTTTAATAAAAGGGAGTTTAACCATCTATTTTATTAGGATGTTAAGGCGGATTAATAATGAAATTTAATTCTAATAAAGATTTATATTAAAATTAAATTTATAAATTTCCTATACATAATGTTATAAATACTCATATTATTACAAATTATGATGTTGAATTTCCTTCAGAAAATTAAAATTTAATCGATTTTAAAGATAATTATGCAAGCAATAATTAAAAACCTCCAAATATTTTTAGAGAATTTTTTGTCGAACATAAAGCTAAAATTGTTTAAATATTTTTTATTAATAAACCTGAAACTTTTATTAGTATAGATTCAAAGGTTTTTTTTATTATAATAAAATAAATGTTATTTTTTTTAAAAAAAGGGATACATATATTATTGGATATATGAGAAAGAATAATATAATGTAAAGTCAAATGGATATAAGCCGAAGTCTAAATTCAAAGTATATAAAAAAAGTAGTTATAATAACAAAAAATAAAAAAAGGTAGTTACAGAGTCTATGTATTATGTTCCTAAAGAAAAAAAAGGAAAAGATGATGCAGATAACTTAAAAAAAATAGAATTGGCAACAAAAGAAATGACAAAAGATTAAGGAGGATCATTATATTATAAAAAATTAATTGAAGAAAATCCTACTTACGAAAATGATCTTATTCAATAAACATTTATCCCGAATTTATAAAATATAGCAGATATTGTAATTACTAAGGAATAATTTCCTACTGAATCTGATTAAGATGTCATATTTTATAAAGGAAGAGTAAATTATAAAACTTAAAAATTTGAAAGTTTGTATGAGGAGAAATTTACAAGTAAAATTAAAAAAATAAAGAATAACAATTTATATTCATAAAGGTTTAAAAGTAGAAGGATATATATATGAATGCTAAATAGTCAGTGGAAATAAATATATTTACATAGAATAAGTATATCCACATAAGATAGATACAGATTTAGTTATTATTCAGTTTATAAGATTTGATACAACACTTTTTAAACTAAAAAAGGTAAAAATATCAATTGAATCTCCTGTAGTAGATGGCGTAGATTTTACAGTCGTAGAAAATTTTACTCCATTTGGAATTCCTTATTTATTTGTGCTTTTAAGATAAGGCTTGATGATCATATCTTGTGCTACAGGTAGTAAATTGTAATTGTTTGATTAATATTTTAATGATATAATTTAAGAAGCGAAACTTAATAATGTAGTATTTGGTAATATTATAAAGCATTTATTAGATTAATTCATTTTTATATGCGTAAGTGATTGCAATGGAGTGTACAAATATCACATAGTAGATAGTAATGATTCTGAATAAAAGAGAAAAATTTTAAGTAACCAACTTGAATTCAAAAGATTATATTCTATTTGAAAATTATATTTTTTTTAATTAAAAATTATATATATCTTTATATTTAAATATTTATTTTATAAAAAAATGGATAATACAGTTTTTAATATAAAAAATGAAAAAAAAAAAAAATTTTTTTTGTCTTCATAAAATTTTTATAAATAGAATAATTTATAATCTTAAATGTTAAAACTGAGTCTAAATAATACATTAAGTTAAGATTAAATAGCTTTAAAATCAAAAAATTTTGAGTTATTTAAATAATAATCTAAAATTTCTTAAATTTTAAATCTTTAATATCAATAAAAAGAGGAATATAATAACATTTACTAGCAAAGATGTATGCAAAATAAAATATAGTAAACAATGAATATAAGAAAAAGTAGTTGTAAAAGTGAAAGAATAAATATGTAAAAAATAAAAAAAGAAGTAAGATCATTAACAAAGTCGAATGCATTAATTAAATTTAAATAAAATTCTAGTTTTTTAGAAAATTAAAATGTCTTTTTGAATGATGAAAATCATGAAAACTAAAAATAAATAAATTTTAAAGGAATAAAATCTAGCAAAAATTTAAATTTACTATTTTAAATTTAAAAAAAAAAAAAAAATGTATTCCTTTCAAATAAAATTAATAAAATTATATCTGCGAAAAAAATATATTCTGCATCTTGGGCAAATTTAAAAGATAGTATAGAATTCGAAATTCAATAAAAAAAGAAATTTTTATGTGAAAAAACTTAAAGTTTAGATAAAAATGTTTAAATTTTAAATATTTAGAGTAGGCTTAAAAAAAAAGCAATTAATTATTTGAATAAAAGTTCAATGAAAAAAAAAATAATTTTTAAGTTAAAAAAAATAACTTTATTAAAAATATATTTTAAGTCATTAAAGATGATAAAGCTAAATTTTAATAATATTTTATTGATTGTAAAGATGTTATTATTACTAATTAAAAAAGATAATCTTTAGATTAATTCATTTTAGATAAATAAAATCTAATTAATTGGCATTAAATAAAGTATTATATTTAAAAATTAATTTACCATTTATATATATATATATATTTATATATTTCCATATCATATAGATATCAAACAGCATATGAAGAAATGAATAAGATGAGTAACCTAAGAAGTTTATATTGTGGTTTAAAATTAGGCAATTAATAAAATATACAATAAGTAAATTACATGACAAATAAGCAATAAGAAGAATATTATACTAATTAATAAGAAATATAGAAATAGGAAGAAAAATATTATAATGAATTTAAGAAATAGTAAAAATTATTTAATTGTGAAACAAAAAAATAATGTAAAGATTAATTAGAAGAGAAAAATATAAAATAATAAGAAATTGAAAACGATAAAAATTCGTTATTATTAGAAGGAATTTAATTTGAAGATGTTTTTTAAATTTAAACAAAAAAAAAATTTCAAAGAATTAGAATTGAAATTCTTAATTATTTATATAAATGCAATCATTTAGGACTTTCAATCAAAACAGTTATTAAAAATAATATTTTTTTAAAAAACCTTTTTAAAGATAAAATTCAAAGCTTTTTTTTCATATCATTAAATAAAATAACTTAACAAAAGTAAAAGAATTGTTATAAAATGATAAGTTTTTAATTTATGAATATGATAACGTTTATTTTTAAAAATAAAATAAAAAAATATTTATTTATAATAGATTTTTCAAACGCCTTTACATTGGGCAGTAAAAAGAGGATATACAGAAATAGTAGAATTATTAATTTAATATAAACCAGATATTGATTCTAAAGATTAAGTAGGAAGAACTGCTCTTTATTTTGGTTATAGAGATGGATATAATGATATTTGTAGACTACTTTTACTTAATAAATCTTCGCCTTGGTCTTGTAAAACTAATAATATTCATTAAATGGTTTATATTAATAAAAAAAATGATATAATTACTTTTAAAATTGCTAAATAAGTAATATATTATTTTAAAAAATTCGTATAATACATTATATTAAATTTTAAAAATTAAATTTAAAGCAATAATAAAATTATATTTAAAACAATTATATTTTTAAAGTTATAAAACTTATATTTATAATCAATTTTTTTAAAAAATTACATTATAATTAAAAAAAATTATAAATAAAAGTATTAAACAAATCATAAAAATTAAAAATATTTAAAATTAGATTTTTTATAAAGAAATATAAAAATAAAAAATATTAAATATATTAAAATATATATAAAAAAATATTAAAAAAAGATAAGTATAAAATATATATAATTTTATTACATTATAAATTATTTAAATGTTTATTATAGCAATTAATATATAATTTTTTTTTTTTTATTTAAATTAAATTTAAAAATAAAAATATAAGATTCATTTAATGATGATGTTAAATAAGCATGCAAAAAGAGAATAAATATGGGAAGAAACAAAATATTTATTTTAAGAATAAAAAAACACAATAATTCTATAAAAATTGATAATTATATTTATTAAAAAGAAAATTATATTATATAAATAAAATATGTTATAATCAATATGTATATTTATTTTTTAATTTATCTACATTTAACATTAACCTTAATTAACATTTTTCATTTAAACTTACTTTTAAAAAAAAAGTATGAATATTAAATAATATTATAAAAAGTAATATAAAGTTTATAAGAATATTTAATTAAAAAATAAAAAAAATATATAGTATTAATATATTAATAAAATTAAAATAAAATTAAATATATAAATTATAAATATATTATATAAATTTAAAATATATAAATATATAAAATATAAATATAATTTATTTCTTTTAATATTTTTTACTAATTATTTTATATTTTAAATATATATTTTTTTATTTCTTTATTATATCATTATTATTATATTTATTATTTATTTTTATATATTATTTAATTTTTTTTTATATATATTTATTTGACTTTACTTATTTTTTTTTTTTTATGAATTTATTATTTTAAAAATTATAACATAAAATTATTATCTAATAATAAGAAATAATTTAAAACAAATTAGAATTATTATTTTAATATTTTCAAATTTTAATTTTTTTTAATTATTATATATATTATTTATAATTTTTATTTTTTATATAATATTATATAAATATACATTTTTATTTTATTAATATATATTTAAAAATATTAGTTAATTATTTAATATATTTTTTATAAAAATAATGTATATTTTTTTATTAATTGTAGATTTTAATATATTTAAAATTTTTATTACCTATTTATTGGCAATCAGCTTAATATAGTTAAATAACTAATATAATCGAAACTAAAGATATAATAATAAAGAAATAAACTACAGATATACTATTTCCTTATATTTAAATAAAAGTAATTACTAATGGCATAGAACCAGATATTATATTCTATAAGGATCCCATAATACCGTATCCTACTCCCTTAATATAAAAATAAAAAATTAAAATATATATATATATATATATATATATATATATATATATATATATATATATATATATATATTATATATATATATTTATATTCATATATTTAAATAAATAATACTAATTTATTTTTTGGAATTATGTAAGAAACGGTGGGCCATATAACAGCTCCGAATATAGCGTAACTAAATCCTAAAATGCTAAGAGTGATTTTAGGCTAAACAAAAGGAAAAAGTGCAAAAGAAGTAAAACATAAAATTGTTGAAATTATAAGTAAATTAATTCTCTATCCAAATTTATCACAGATATATCCAAATAAAGGAAATAATAAAGATGCAATTATATAAGGAATACCCATTAATTAACCTGCTAATTCTTAATTTACCATTAATAAGTTAGTTTTCGGTAGCCAAAGATCAATTAATATTGAACTTGAGCATGTATTAAATGTTACTACACATATATAAAGGGCAATTGTTAAAAAAGTTAAAATCCAAAATAACTTTAAAAAATATGAATATCATATTTAATTTATATTAAAAAAAAAAAATACTTTGCTCATTTTTTTAATGTTTTTGAATATTTTAACAAAAACTAATTTTAATTATTTAGAAAGTATATATTATTTTTGTTATTTTATTATTGGATTCAAAGTTAATTTATAATCCACATAAACTAAAATTATTGCACATAAAAGACTAAATAAACAAATAAAAATTCCAAAATAAAAACTATAAGTAATTGATTTATGCTAATTTTTAGTATTTTCAAAATTTTTTAATTATATATTAGTTATTTTAATTTAAAAATTATAAATAATATAATAATAATAATAAAAAAAAATAATAATAAGAAAAATAATTTACTTCAGATATTCTTGGTGTTAATTATGAGTTTAAAACACTTGCGAATCTAATAATACTTAATTTAATTGATTATGCAAATGATACTTCATTTCCTTAAAACCAATTTACAATCAAAGAATTTATAGAAATTCCTAATGATTCTCCACCAATTCCAAAAATAAATCGGCCCAAAATCATTATTTTTAAACTTTTTACATTTATTCCGCATGTAATTATTATTTGCCCAATAGTTATAAATAATAAAAATATAATTGTCATTTTTCTATATCCTATTTGTTTATTTATGTTAAAAAAAAATATATAATAATTCTTAAAAAATAAATATAAAAACTACCTATTAAATCTGATAGTACACCACCGTATAAAGGTAACACTATATTTGGCATAGAATAAACTGTATATAAAAAACTATAATATATCTCAGCATCTTCTTTGCCGTATACTGGTGTAAAATGTTCAACTAGTTCAGATCTTAAAACTGCAGGAATATCAAGTATATATAAGTCAGCAAACTTTTTTTAATTTAAATAAGACTATTTATAGTTTTTTTATTAATTTTACATATACAACTGAACATAAAAGTAAAATAGGAAATCTTATTTATTGCCTTATTTATTAAACAATTTTCATAAAAATATCTTAAAAGTTAATTTTAAATAAGTAAAATTTAATTATTTAAAATATTTTTATATGTAATTGTATAAAAATACTATTTATAATCTAATATATTAAAAATACATAAAACATATATTTATAAAAAAAAAAATATTAAAAAGCTAAAAAAAATTATATTAATAAAAAAAAATTAATTAATAATAAAAATATATGATAATATTTATAAATTTTAGAAAAATAATAAATGTTTTATTTATTAATTTATATATGAAAAAAATAAAATAAATTTAATTAAAATTGTATTTATTATAATTATTATTATTATTATTATTATTATTATTATTATTATTATTTTTATTTTTTTTTGTATTTTTTTTTCTTCATTTTTTTTATTTTTTTTTACTATTAATTTTTTTATTTTTAATTAAAATATTTTAAATATTAAAATACCTTAAAAGATATAAATACATATAAAAATATAATGAAATCAATTTTAATATTTTATTTTTAATTATTAAATTCAAAAAAATGATTTGGGAAATACTCTTTTGAATAAATGCATACATATTGTATCATTAGGTTTAACAAAATTACTAAATTAACATTTCATGAGTCCATGTGTTCCTAAAGATTCTTATATTTTTCCTCTTAATCCAAGTTTAGTTTTTAGTTCTACAGGCTAAAAATATTTTATATCTAAGGGATTAAAGAACATTAATCTCACAACACATTTTCTTTTATTAATCTATATTTTTTTTTTTTTTTATAATAATATTTTTTTTTAATAAAATATACTTTATAAGGATATCCTGTGAATATTATTCTTTTTAAAATGATTTATAGAGGGTCACTTTTTAATAATTCTCCATTTAGACAAAATTCAGCTTTTTATATTTCATTTTCTGCAAATATAAGTACATTAGCAGGAGGGTATATATTTTAATAATAAAAAGATGCCATATAATTTGCGTTTTTTTCTTTTAGTTTCTTAACATATTTTGTTTTACTATTATGTGCATACATTTTTGAAAAAATTGTATTTACAGTTGCTTTTCTAAATCCGAAATTAATCAAATAATTTTTTTTAGAAAGTATTTAATTTTATCCCTCATATTCATTGTTTCTTCTTATTTTTAAATGAACTACAGTCATTTTTCTTTCATGTTTTAAAACTGTAGATAAAATCTATTTTTAAAATAAAAAATATTTTAATTAAAAAAAAAAATTACTAAAGGTTTTTCTTTAGGATGTTCAATCAATTTGTTAATAGGAAAGCCTTTAACGTAAATTTTAATATAAAATCCTCCATAAGCAAAAGCATTTTCTTCAGCATTAATATAAGCATTTTTTTTTGTTCTAATATAGTTTTTGAAAGTATATATTTTCTCATATGGATCAGGTAAATTTTCAAATTCATCCCATTCTGAGTTTTTGAAACTTTTCATTCCTTAATATTTTTCGTACCTATCTCGAATTTAAAGTTATGTATTGTATTCAACTTCATCTTCGAATTCTAATTCGTCTTCATTTCTTTCTAATAGTTCTAATATTTTTTGTTTTTTTCCACTCTCTACCTCTTATTATGCATCATCCTAAGAATTTACCGATATAATATCTTCATCATTAATATTTTCTAAATCAATTTAATCCATAGTTCCATTTTATTACTTATATTTAGTGTTTTCTTTTAATTCTTCTTCTTAAATATTTTCTTCTTCTCCAGCATTTTCTATTTCAAACTCTTCGGCATCTTAATTTTGATTATTTTATTAATTTCCTTCATCCTCTTCATCAATTTCTTTAAGGATATTTTTATTATTTTATTTTTTTGTCTTATGTTGTTATTAAACTTATCCTTAAGAAACAAAACTTTCTAAAGATTCCTACTGTGTTGAAACTTAAGTAAGCAAAATATCACTATTTAAATTAATCATAGACATACTAAGATCAACTTAAATATGTTTTTTTTAATTTTCTATTTAATTTTATAAGGATTTTTTAAAATTTCAATTTTTTCAATCTAAAAATCATCATAACCAGTAACATGCAATAATTAATTAGCATTAATGCAACTTCCTCTAAGAAATCCAGTAAACTCAACAACTTAATTTTATGTATTAACTAAAACTTCATCACACAACATATATCCTCTATTTTCTTTCCATTCAAAATTTTATAATTATGTTCCTTATAAAGTTCTTAATAGTTAAAATATGGTTTGTTCGTTTTCTATACTTATAAATGATTCTGGCTAAAATTCACTCATAAAATATCTCTAAAATAGTTTCTTTACTTCTTTTTATTTATTTTAAGGAATACTTGCTATATTTTAAAGCACTTATACTGTAGAAGGAAGTCCTTATATTTTTAATGCTGATAAAATTTTATATCCCCAATCAGAAAAAGCATTTGCATTATTATATGGGTCTAGATTCAGTTTTTCTAAGTTAGTATCCTTACAAGATAATACAGGGCATATTATATCTGCTACTTTACAATAGTCTAACATATTCTCAAAGTTTTTGTATTCTCCTGCAATAAATATAAAATTTTCTTTTATTAATCCAGGAACTAAATTTATTTTTATTTTTTATTTTTTTAATATGATTGTATATAATTTACAATATGTGGGATGTGCGAAGAATTAATAGTATGGGAATTTAAATGACATTCTAGTTTAGTTAATTTATTATATATTTTCACCCATTTAAACATCTTCGTATTTTTACAAAATATTGCTTATATATTGTTTTATTTGTTCCAGTAATTATTAAGTATCAGCACTATCATTTAAAGGTAAAAAATAAACAACTCTAGGAGGCTTAGCTTAATTTACCATTTCTACAAAAGCTAATTTTGTAGCCTCATCAAGGATGTTATTTTATTTTATTAATTTTTCTATTTTTTCTTCCTTTTTTATAGCCTTGTTATATTTCTATTATTCATTTTATAACTTTCGCGCATTTTTGTTCAAGTTTATAAGCTTTTTAGATATCTTTTTTGTTTTACTCTAAATTTTGTGGGTTTTTTCATTAGAAGATCCTTTGAATTTCTTATTTTTTTGCTTAAAGTTACCTGCTTTATGTGCTGAAGGCATTTTTTATTATTTTTATCTTTTGTAAAATTTAATATAAAGATTTTTACACTTTTTAATTAAAAAAATAAAAACGCAAATATATTTTTAAAATAATTTTAACTTTTTTTATTTTTTTATTATTTTTATATTGTTATTAATTTAATTATATAATACATTATTTAATTAAACATAATATTATATATTATTTTTTTTAAAAAAAGTAAAAAATATATGCGAATCTATAAGAACTTTAACTTATGATGCTATAGTTATTATGTTTTTAATTTTTTTTCAATAATAAAAGAGTTAATTAAGGCTTTACAAATTAAATTATTAGCTTAATCTATCCTAAATATTTTTGAATTTCTAATTTTAATTAATGGATTATTAGTTAATAGTATATTTTTTTATTAATATTTAATGCAACAATTGCTATATAATTTTACATCTAAATTTAAAAATTAATACGAATTTTAGAAAAACTATTTTTCAAATTTATCTAAAATATTAGAATGAACATTTCTCGTATATTTAAGTAAAGAATATTTCTAAAAGAATTAAATATTTCCTAACTTAAATTTAAACTTTTATATTATTTTAATATATACCTTTTCATGAGAAATTTATGGATATTTTTTATCTTAGACTTATCTCTTTTTTAAAAAATTTGAAAGGACAAGAAAAAATTTATAAAACATAAATTAAAATTCTATCCCCTTTAATTTATTATAAATCTAATATTTAATAAATTTATTATGGTTTTTCAGATAATTTAAAATTCTAGTTTTTTAATTTTACTAACTATATATAATTATTTTTATTTTCTTAATTAAATAGTTTTAGTTTATATCACTATTTAAATTATATTTATTATGTAATAAATAATACTTAAATTTTTATATAAATTATTTATTAATATAATTTTTTTTTTTGAATATATACTCTAATGATATTATACTTTATTAGGAAAGAATATTAATTTATATCATAAATATGTTCCTAGTAATAAAATAATAATTTTTTTTTTTATAAATTTTATTAAAAAATACCTGAATATGAAAATTAATTTATTATTATTAGCTTTTTATTATTAGAATTTAATTTTATCAGAAAATTATTTCTATATTAATATTAGATTTAAAATTTATTTATTGAAATCTGAACTGAATAAACATTTTAACTATATATTGATTATTATATAGATATCTATTAGGATATTATTCGAAAATGTATAAATATTTCATAATAATTATAATTGTATATTTAATATTTTTTGATTATTATTGTTTTAATAAAAAATTAAATGGTTATATATTTAATTGTTATTTTTATAAATTGCTCAATAAAATTCTTTATATAATAAAATAACTAAATAATATATTTTAATAAATCAGAAAAATAAATATAAATTATTTATGTATATAATATTTGTTTAATAGAACAAATATATACAAAATATTTATTTTAATAAAAAAATTAATAAGATATTAAAATATTTAAAAAATATATATTAAATTTAATAATTATATATTTTTAATATATATGTATATGCTTTTTTCATTTTTTGTTTTAAATTTATTAATTTGTTTTCAATAATAATCTTTCTTTTATCAAATATTTAGAAGTTCTTATGAAATTATTTTATATAAGTTTTATTACTTAAAATTTGTATCTTTTTTTCATTTATAATAAATTAATTATTTATAATTAATTTATCATATATTTATGCAGTATAATCTTAAAAATAATTTATTTTTTAAAAAATATTTTATATTTAAATTTCATAAATACTATTATTGTAATATAATATATTTAAAATGGCTGAATTTAGAGACGATAATTTTATAGTTGATTTAGCATAAAGACTAAATATTAATACTAAAATAGATAAAGAAATTTCACAAGAAATATTATCATAAGTCGAATATGAATTAAGATTATTAATTGAGGTATATGAAATTTATTAAAAAAATATTTTAAAGAATAAACATTTAATTATTTGTAAAATTTGAAAATAATTAAGCATTTAATTATATTTAAAATATATAAATAGAAAAAAATTGAATTTATGGCATTATGAAATAAATTATATTTTTTTAATTTTTGTAAATAAATAGGATTCAATTAAATTTATGAAGCATTTTAAAAGAAGTAGATTAACTTGTAATGATGTTGAACATGCTTTAAAAGATAGAAATTATTATGATGTATAAAAAAATAAAATTAACACATTTTATGATTTAAATATAATGTTCATTAATTTATATTAAACTTTTTTTTTATTATCTTTATATAGAAATTATTTGGGTATGATATTACCGATAAAATTTAATTTCAAAAATGTGGAAACTATTATATAAAACAAGATAAAGTAAATATATAAAAAAATTTAGTAAAATGTAATTATATTTTAAATTTTAAATTTTAGGAAGTTTAATTAGATAAATATATTGAAAATTAAATTTATAGTTTAAAAAATGTAATTGAATATCCAAAAATTAAAATATGGTGGTTATCAATCGATGGAAAAATGCCACAGACTGAAGAAAATTAATTTGTTAGTAATATATAAAATATTATTATTACAAAATAATATAAAATTAAAGATAATAAATAGGCTATTTTAAATAATGATGAAGGAAAAAAAAAGGAATAATAAAAAAATTTCAATATAATAAAAGATAAGCCTTTATCATTGTTATCAAAAGAATTGACCAAATATTATGTAGAAACAACAAAAATAATAGCAGAATAAGAAGCAATAATAGATAATTGTTTAATAAACTTACCAGGAGAACCATTTGAAATATCTGAAAAGCTTTAAATAGGTAATAAATAAATAAATATATAAATATATAAATATATAAATATATAAATATATATATATATATATATATATATTATTGTCTTATTTAA